TTATCGTTTTGTCATTGAAAATTGGTTGGTTAGGTGCCGATCTTCAAGCTTTATTGTCAGAAACAATTAGCTTACTTGGACATCATGATGTATGATGGCACGGTGGCCTATGATTAACTGTTTTCCACAGTGAAATATGAAATGATTGAAAAATGTCATAAAACATTATACACATAACCATTAAAAGTAACCTTTAATTTTTTTTTGCTAAATGACTCATTTCTCTCAGAAGATATCAAACCAGTGATCTTTCATCTTAACATTCTTCAAATTCAGACTCTTAAAAAATTCAAAGTGAAGAGTTTGTTTTAACGACGAGGCCTCTCAAAATGGTCCAGACAAGACACAACAACGGCCTTTCATGTCTTCCCTCTTATTGAATCTGTGTTTTAACTAGAAAATGCCACGGTTTTGAAGTTAGTGTTGGTATTTCATCTGGCAGTGAGGCGATGAGATAGTAATCTGACATTCCTTTGGAGTCTGCGGGCAGTTGCTATGGCTCCTATGGACTGACACTTTATATTGTTGTAACGGTAGTCTTTATCCACTCATTCCAACTCATCAAAAGTATATTTGTTTAGCATCAAGTGTATTAAGCTGTTAAAGTTAAGTGTAGCCTATTCCCATTTCATTTATGACTTTTATATTGTGTCTCTTTTATATCTTAGTGGCATCTAATGTAGAAAGGTGCTATAAATACATTTGACTTGCTTTATCTACATAGCTACAATACAGGGATGCCTCTCTTATTTTCCCTCTTCATACCTTTTAATTTTTAGACAAATACAGAGAATATCAGTGGATCGGACTAAATGACAGAACCATTGAGGGAGACTTCCGCTGGTCGGACGGGAACCCTCTGGTGAGTGTCTGTGACTTGTTTTGACCTTGTGTGTTTTGATCAAACTTGTGAGACCTACAGTTTGGTAAGTTTAGTTTTAAGGTGTAAACCCTCGAAGATTTGATTTTGATTTTGATTTGAGATTGTCTAAGCTGTCTCATTTCACTGTCTTGCGTCAGTTTATTAAAACATTAAAATCATCATTGATGAGATTAAAAGTTGTTTATATGTCTTTTATATGACTGTTTTAATCCGTTCTGGTCTCTGTCAGCTCTACGAGAACTGGTACAAAGGCCAGCCCGACAGCTACTTCCTCTCTGGTGAGGACTGTGCGGTGATGGTGTGGCACGACGGCGGCTGCTGGAGCGACGTGCCGTGCAACTACCACCTGTCCTACACCTGCAAGAAGGGCGTCTGTGAGTTCACTTCATTTGAGCTGCACCTTGTCTAAGGTCTCTTTTTTAAATCAGCACTAGTGTTAGGGATCTAAGAAGCAAAGTTGTCTCTCCATTTTTCTTCCATCTAACAGCATCCTGTGGCGAGCCCCCAAAGGTTCCCAATGCTAAGGTGTTTGGGAAGAAGCGTTTGCGCTATGAGACCAACACCAAGGTGCGGTACTACTGTGAGGAGGGTTTTGTGCAGAAACTGAATCCTGTAATCAAGTGCCTGCCTGGCGGCCAATGGGAGCAGCCTCTGATTACCTGCATGCCAAGTAAGTGCATTAACTGGCTGACCTTGATGAGGGGTCACAACTCAGGACCCAAAACGCAGACAGTACAAACAAGAATGTAAACAGAATAACCAACAAACACTATCAGAGTCCAACAAAAAAAATAGTCCAAACAAGAGAAATCCAAATTGACTTTTTAAAATGTGTAACGGTGGAATACTCTTTCAAGACATTGTGTCCTTTCTTACAAAGGTTCACACAAACACACTCTCCTAAATAAAAAGAGGCTGTGATCCTTTACTTTTCTATTTGTCTCCCACCTTTAGCCCATTCGATGGAAGAAGACTCAGATACCTCACATCCTTACCAGTACGAGGCGGTCGTGGAGGCCATGGAGGTCATGAGCACAACCACAGAGACAACAGCTCCTCTGTTCTGGGACATTAAGTGGCATGTCTAAAGCCATCCTGCCTTTTTTGTAAAACAAGTTTCCATCTCCTCTTTTCCTCCTTTTCTTGTGTCTCAAAAGACGTTTCCAGTCCCGTTTCTGCATTAAGTTAAACTGTATAAAACTAATCTTTCATATTAAAGTCATCTCAAGGCCACAGTGTTTACAGTCATGTAGTCCAAATGGTTTTTCATTACTGGAGAAAGTTGTCGCAAAAGTTATGGAAGGTTAAGGTGAATTTGGTCATTGGACCTGTTGAAGCGAAAAACACTCTTGATCTAGACATCTCTGAAACAATGACTCTCAAAATAATTCTTCTGAAACTTGAGGATCCTCCAGGATCCAACAGTGTTGATTTAACATCCATCTTCCTTTTTGGATCGAAAGGCTTTCTGTTTGTTCATAAAACATTTTTGTTTTTCAGTACGTACAGTTTCAAGATCCTCTCTTATCTTTTGACTTCCACACAGAAGGACAACTTCAATGTGAATATAAAAGACCTAGAATCTAATTTACGAAATGTATACGAGCCCTAAGTTCTTAATATTTCTGAGACCATTCTGATCATGCTTAAAAAACAAGTTAATCACGTAAATGTATGTTTTATCAGTCTGTATTACCCTGAATAAACTAAATTAAATAAAGGCTATATTATGTAAATCAAGTACAAAGTAGGTGATAGGAAGGATTATGTCCCAAGCAGCATATGGGTCTTTAAGGGATTCAGAAATATTTAAAAAATATATAATTATGTCTTTTACAGCATACTTACTTTACTTACTTACACAGCAGTGATATGTGATGTGCTTTACTTTCATAATCAGCAACCATTTTGTATCTAAACATTACTGTTCTTTAAGAAAAGATCATTGAATGACAACGTTGAATTCATGAATTTGACTGCAGGAGCCGCACACGCCGTAGTTTAACGTATATGAACCAGATTAATGTGTAAGTTTGCAGTTTAACCTGTTGTACTTAAAATCTGGAAGATTCCTTGTTTTTACTTTTCTTGGGATCGGCATCAATGTTGAGAACTGTCCCAGTCCGAGACACATAATTTCCCACAGACTGCACTCTTGAAAAAGATTTGTGCATTTAATGTAAAAGCACTGCTGTACTGTAATATAGTGCAAAACTACATCACAGCTACACAGGATGTGGAAAGAACAACAAACATTGCATTTTGACCCTTACAAATGGCAGTGAAACATGGAAGTTTAAATTTTCAAGTAAACAACATTTGACATAAATAATCCTGTTTCCACTTGGTATTAACATATAACCCTAGATTTCCAATACGCTCACATTTGCCGACTATAAATATACAGATCATATTTTAATACCAGGTGGAAATTCGGTACATATGCAGTAATTGTTGGTACTGAAGGCGTCAAGCTCATTTCTTTTTTTTTCTCTTTGCTTGCTCACTATGTTTTATGTTGCTAAAAGAATATTCTCAAGTACACCTTTATATTTTGGAAGTGCAGCTGTAATGTGAGTAGTAATAAAAAAAACAGATGTGCTGAAAATTCAACCGCTGTTTTAAGAGACTGCATACCTTCAATTCTTTTATTATTGTTATTATTATTATTATTATTATTTTTAGATGGAGAGAAATTACCAACAGGGAATAAACCTGATCCCACCCACACTAAGTTGAACCACCTAACTCTCTGTGTGCACACATGGTATCTTTTTTAAGAGTGCAGATCACTGACTGCTCGTTCTCTGGTGCTTTTTATTCAGGTGTCTCTAACACCAAGTTTGTTGTATGGTGTGCTATTATGAACTGTATATCTGTATTTGGCCAGATGTGTATTAGCATACAGTATCCTAATCAGAGAGTCTAATTTTGTAACAGACAATATGACAGTAAGTAACACTGCAGGTGACATTAATTGTTGATCTAATGAACGCTAACAAATTATATAATAAAAATGGATCCAATGAAGAAGGAGAAATAAAATGTAATTTTTTATTGTAGTCTGGACTTTTACTGTTGTTACACGTTGCCTATTGATTTAACTGTATGGCATTAAAAATGTTTGATATATATTCCATGATCATATAACTCCTTATTAACACTAAAATGTCTGATCAGATATACTGTAGTTGACTTTGCTTTCTTCCTGACACTTTTTGGTATATTTAAGCAGTTTGAATCTTCTAACTATAGAATCCTTCAGTGTAAAACCTCCAAATTGCAAAAGCTGCAGCCTCGACAGGAGTTTGCCTTTACTATCACTGTGTTGCAGGTATAGTTGGGTTTAGAGTGTATCCTCCTTTGACTGTTTCTAATGGAATACTGGTCTTTGAGAAGTGAAGGGATTCCCTACTGAGTGCCATAAACTGTCTACCAAACTTGTTTGAAACTACCACAAGAGGTCGCCAAAGTAATAAAGTTTCAACACACACACAGGAGCTTTAATATTTTCTTCCACGCTCTAATCATTAGGAGACACACGTCTTCACAGCTACAACCTTGGTTAGAATGAAAAATATACTGAAGCAACGTTAAGCTCTTTTGTTTTCAGTTAAGTGCTGTCTAATGGATTTGGTTGATGTTACTTTAAATGTTGCTGTTTAACAAAGGTACAAGAACTAAACATTGTTTTTTGTTTTTCTGCAAAAAAAGTATAATTTCCACATTCAAAAAGTAATTTGCTTCTTCTACTACATTAAAAAAATCCAGAATATGTTAATATACAAATTGTGTTCAAGTTTTCCTGCTGGACACAAGATGTCTCCTACTTCACTGTAAAGTCCATTCTCAGTGTCCACTGGTGGATCACACTTGTATAAGATACTGGAACAGGGATGAACTTACAAACTATTTGTGATGTCACAAATCATCCTCGTAGGCCCCACACCTTAAAATCAGATTTTCAGTGAGCACAGAGAAACTTCAGCAGATGAATGTGAAAACATCTTTCT